AGTCAAGCTTGTTTACACAGACGAAAACGGCCTTGCCAAAGACGTCGCAAAGGTTGTTACTTTCGCAATGTAAATGTAATTATTATGCATTAATACCGAACGAACTACAACTAAGCAAATAATAAATGAATTACTTACAATCTTTTGCTGCTTATGCTTTTTTAAATATTTTTAATAACATAACAATACCCAGTCAATTACACGCATTAAGCGATCAATTGACGATTAGTTGGTACAAGCACACCCTACTCGGAGTTGTAGTTGCGTTAATTTTGTGTTTTAGAAATAATAGATTCAATTGTAAACAGAGGCCATTTGATGTCCCTATCCTTATGCCTTCTCCAATCATAGGACGAGATATGGGTACGCGACCACGGCCTTAACGAACTGCTGTATTCTCATTCCAGTTCAACCTCTACCTGGAGTATTAGCTATCCTTCCCTTTCTGTATTCCGAATAACACAGTTCTAAGGAACTATACAAAACCCTTTCCAATGTTACGTTCACCGACCTCACATAAAATAGATTAAATGTTAAAAAGATTATTGGCACAATTGTGAAATTACTATGTAAAATTAATATTTTGATTTATAATAAATGTACGAGTAAGATTACATTACAATGGCAGTATTAACTGCGCATCTTGGCCTATGGAAGTGTAGATGCTGCAGATTTCGTTAATCAGAACGCAGATCTGCGTATCATGGTCTCGTACATATCTCTTCGGCTCAAACCTTAGCCCTGACCAGCAACGGGGAAGAACGTTGCTTTTCAGTTCGTTCTTGCCCGAACTAGGAAAACTCTAAGAAAACATTGGCATCAAGGGTAGTCTAATTCTTAGGCGATGGTGGGTTGTATTCCCAAGTTATCATTCCGCATACAGCATTGGAGATAGTGCTTATATACATTATAAATTGTGGTTTAGTCACTGAAACATAACAGGTAGGCTCTTACGTTTTATATAGTTCTGGTCTTTTCTATATCATTCACCATTATTTTACAGAATTCTAGTGTAGTACATCACAATTTTTATTGCGTGAACGTCGATAACTCCTGATATAAAGTACTATATAATTGAAGATAAACTCTTACCTGGTCATCAGCAAAAAATCAAATGACATTTTATAAAAGTTGAATGAACTTCAATTGTATTCTCGTTACTACTACTACTACATTCTTTGTATTCAGTTCAAGAAGTTTCTCTTATTACGCATTCAAAGGACGACACATAAAAGGAAATATATTGACCCGAGTCATGTTTATTAGCTTCTTGTCTTGTATTGATGGTCGCATACGACAGTAAATAATGAAAACTTTAAACTTTGGTTGAAGCTATGAAAACCTACTAAAATAAATGCATATTATGCTCTTGTGATGTTATGTGTTTTATTTCTGTAACTAAAATGTGATTTTTAATAACTACAACTGTACTGTATTTTCACTGTCGAGCCAAGTTCTAACTCCGTAGTAAATGAAATATACAACTGAAGGTGACCTGTGAAGGTACGATCCTTAGGCCAAGCAGCAGAAAGGTGGGACTCGTTGAAGCCACTGAGCCTGATAGCGCCGTGTTGGGCGTCAGCCAAGGCAATTTGCATCGCTACCCATTTCGGAACATCGCCAAGTCTAGCCGAACAAAACCACAGAGAATTACCCTCCATTCCAATAATAATTAAAGCAAACATTTCGCAGTCGAGGCGCACGTCGACGGACATTATGGAGCTTATAAAGCATCTGCTCCAGCTCGCAATTAAGAAACGATGTGCACGTCTATTTACCGACACGGAAGAGACGCACCGCTTGCAATGGTCCATCGCGGTATGCTCCTGAAGCCGGCGTCGCGGAGAGCAGAGCCAACCGCTCGACTCGAACGTCTAAATTAATAACACCTTTGATATTCGAAATATCAATATTTTAAAGGAGCTTATGAAGTGCGTCGTTGCATATGCAACGTGCAGGCCTTCCGTGTTGGCAGTCCTAACGTGCTCTAACGAACCGATATACACCGAATATCTGCATATAAATCTTATGAAAGTCTTTATCTATATTTTTTAAGCTACAGTGATAATAGTTGTACTACTATACATTTTAGCACAACGCGAAAATTTACCATTAGAAAGAAAGAAAGAAAAAGTTACATTAAAGTTACATTTTGTAACAGAAAAGTAGTGTTCGTGTATGAGGTGACAAAAGCTTTGATATAGCGTTGGCTGCTTTCCACACGTTTCAAAATGACGGAGGTCTAAATGAATGCTTACTTACCCAAGGACATACACAATCATAACTTTATTCATTGAGTTGAGCCTACATATTTTCCAAAAAGTAATCAATATCTTCTACAAAAAAAAAAACTAAGAGGAATAATTAAAATATAACATTAAAAATAAAAACTTACTAGAATTACTGTTTAGAAACTTGAATTTTTGCAAGTAAAGATTTTATGCACACGAAATGCAATGCTGTGCCTTTCCTGCTACTTTTGTACATAGCCTTCGTAATGTCTGCAGAATGGGCCACCTACATTTCTACAGCTTTAATGGTTGTAAAAAACTACGTTTATGTTGGGTAGATCATCACTGATATTAAATTTCTCATTGTTGCTCACTCTATTCTTTAAAAAAAGGCTAAAAGTGGAAGTTATAGGAATATATATATTACAACATCAGTTAAAACACAACGTGACAATAATGGCAACGGCGCCAGACTACCGACCTGCCATTACCGTTTATCGATATAATTATTTTAAATCACTCAACTGACTTCAAGCGTTTAAATCTACATTACATTGGAAGCGAAAGCGATTGAGGTTCAATTATGCAATACATTATTTTACAGCCTTTAATGAAATACCTTTGAGTAGTTACAATAGTGTATCTACCAGCTTTTTTAAGTTAAGATTTTTAAGTTAAGAAAAACTTAAAAATGTATAAAATGAAATCTATCAAGTCAGGGTTTTGATAATCTATTTTTTAGATTTTTATAGGAATATAGTTAGAGGATATACATACGTTAGTTTATAAATTTTATACAAAATGAAATTTATATATTCGTAAGGCAATGTTTAATTAACTTTAATTGACACTCATGGAATTGGCAGAATGGGTATGGTTAATAGAAGTTTTAAGAAAAAAAATCTTAGGAAATCATAAAAGTCCCGAAAATAAAAATATTATAAAGAACATGCACTTAAATTTTAAACATTAGGTTATTTTATGAGTCTCAGAAGTTTTGGATTGGGATACTTTCCTGAAAACTAAGAAGCAGTTAGGAAAGAACTTCAAAAGGGCGTAGAAGGGAAGAAATGGAGCGTAGGTTCCAAAGATAGTGGAATTTTAGCATGATGGCTGATTACTCCTGGGTGTTAAAGCGTAATGATGCAAACCGTGCTCAGAAGAAAAATAACTGGACGGAAATAACGGTGTTTATATTTAGGTTATGTTTTAAATCCCTACAAAACCAACATCAGTTATATCCATGACTGAATGAGAAGCGATAAGGAAAACATAGGAGATATTTATGTGTGCCAAAAATTCATTTTTGAAGATACGCAAGAAGTGTCGCCATTGCTTATTAAATCCGAAAATTTAAGACAGGGATTCTAAAATTTAACCTGTATTAGTCTTTTACGGTATATTCAGACACAAAAGTTTCTTGAAAAGGTAGGTGTCTGCATCGTAAAACAACAAAATTGTATTCAACCTTTACTACGAAATGATGTCGTGGTGCAGTTAATAAGGAAAACACTAAGAAGTCAATTCCGTAATTTGTAAACAAGTTTATTACACAGTATGAAAACTTTAACTATGAGTGGTAGTAATATTGCAATATTTGCTATTTTACTATATTTTATTGTTATTTCGATTGTGATACGCATTTTTTGTTTAAGCCACTACACCTTTTTGATAAAACTAATACTAGAAAGTCAGTAGGTCTTTGTCGCCTTGAAAATTCGCAGATAGGTACTACCCTTTCAACATAACACTAATAGCATACTTTTTGAAAGTTTATTCTGTATTTTACATTCATACAAAAGGATAATTACATCTGATAGTAGCAATATCCGCCTAGAGAACTTAACATCTTACTCATATGGTGGGGATAATGACAAGACATCCGCGAATCGAAGCAGATTTTAAATACAATCTGCCTTGAAAATGAATTAAGCTAAATCTAAGGTAGAATTTTACTAACGTGTAAATAACAACAATATTCTTGGTGTTATCATTTCTTATCATTATGTACTGACGGCAGGTATATCGCGATAAGCTATCAAATGACTACAGTATGTCAATAAAAGACATTCACAATATAACTACCATGTTTCTTATTTTAATCCTAAAATGAGTCAAAAAGACAAAGAAAAAGGTTTTTTTGAGAGAATCGCACTTAATAATCACTTCGATACAATCTATTTGTAATATTTGATGATACTGAGTTTTGTTCAATATCTATAATAAAACGGAATCTATAGCAACTAGTGTATTTAGTGTCATATAGTTACTAATGCCATTTATTTGTTAATAGGGAGAGCTAGCTTTCCTATACCTACTGTCTATTCGATCGTGGCAGTCAAAGATGCTGTAACAAACCTAAATAAAATAAGTACTACTATTTCAACCGCACATCTTGTAAGGTAAATTTAGTATTTCATACCTTTGAACATATTTATCCTATTGCGGTTTGATCGTGGCTATTATCAATGATATAATTATAGCATAGTTAGTTAGTCCGAATCACCATTTCATGAGTCTTTGGGCCTAAGCTTGACGATGTAATGAAATTGAGGTAGATAGATACGTAATTTGATTAATAATAGAGAAAATAACAATTAAGTACTTACAACTTGGAAATCATGTTAAATTTGTATTCTTAGATTGCCACAAACCAAGAACTGTGTTCAAATAAAATTTACTGTACATGGACGAAGTTAAATAGTTTAACAACGACTAAAGCATCAATAATGCGCAAATATAACATGAAAATAATGTCTCAAAACTTACTTGAGATAGTATATCTGTCCTTCAGGTGTACGAGCTTGTTCCCATCCAGGCGGAAGTGGACCAAGATCGTCAGGAATATGTGTTCCGACATCATAAGATCTCTGTTTTGTATGTTGATGATGTAGCGGTGGCTGTTGATTTTGTTGACCAGCGGCATAAGTTTGTTGCAAACTTGCGGGTGACGAATGTGCACGAGAGTGCGACACCGGTGAGGCGCCAGTGGCGGACGACGATCCGAACGCCGAGTCAGCCGAGTTTTCTCGCGAGTGAGACACAGATGGCGACTTGGAACCGGTTGACGGCGGGTTAAAGAACGACTTTGGAAGCTGTCGCATTCGAAGAGGCACCTGTAGCGGTCGTTTCGAGTCCGGCTTAAGCACTGTGTCGAACAATGATTGTAGAACCGAGTCTGAATCCTGGTCCACGCGGAGGACCAGGTTCGATTTCTGTTCAGCGTCCGAGTTGTGAGCCATGATTTACGTCGGAACGAAGAAATCTCGAAACCGACCTGGCCCACCGCTGTGACACAACACTACCACGCGACGGGCTGGCGCGGCGCCACCCGACGTACTTGCAATATAGCGTTCGCTGCGCGACTGACGCTTGCCCCGCCCGCACCGCTGAGTCTCCCTGCCCACGCGCACCCGCCGCACCACCCGCGCTGACAGTATGTTGGTGCACAGACCGGTCTTTGCTTCAACAATTATGCCCCTCACCCCTCTCACCCCGTATCTCGATTGCTCTTAACTTAAAATTATAAAAAATACAAAATAGCCATTAAAGAAACATCACATAAGAAAATCATACCTTATTAAAATAGAAATGGTTTAAAATCCAAGTACCTTTACAAGTACCTACCTAATACTATAATTGAATGTTTGTGAGGACAATCAAAGATTACTTTTACCTCAATAAATTTTTTTAATCACACGCTACCTCTTGAATTTCACTTAGGTAAGTATACATTTTTACCATTGTAGCAGAATCCACCTAATTACATTAAAAATATTTTTACCAATTATAACATGTTATTTTTTATTTAAAACATTATTCTCTGCGTGCGTTAACGAAATAAATCTCTGTATTTAGGTAGGTACCTACTTATTGTCACTGACTGAGTTATATGTAAATATAATTGTGACAAAATGAAAGTTAACAATCTTACCTACATCTGTGAAGTAGGTAGTGTGAAGTGCATGAATCTTATTGCGTATACATTATACCTAGTAAATAAAAAATAATCGTATCTCGGTGTAATTTCGATACCGCATTAGCAATAACAGGCCTTTTTATTAAAAATATTTTAGACTTTATTTCTTCTATATATTTAAGAAAAAATTTATAGCCACTCTCCTATATAAATAATAGCACTCCTAGATCAAAACTCAGAAAACACAATATTTGTAAAATTTAAGTACCTCTTCATCAGCAGGCTCACCACAATATCAGGTTCAATTAAAGTTTCATCAATCGTTCTATAGACGGCGTTAACTTTTTTATGAAACGCACGACAGTCTCTCTTCAAAGTAAAATAGTCAAATTAACTAAAATGGGTTGTTTAATATAATATATGTATTATTTTTTAGTTTTGTTGTAATCTAAGATTTTATTTAAGTATTGCATAAAAACGGTGGTATGGTGTGCCTTACATTTTTTGGCACAGTGTACCTATCTACATATATGTTGTAGATACCTACGAGAAGTTAAAATACTTTTGATTTATGATACGCAGGTTAGAATCTTTAAGTTTTGCGCAAAAGGACTGGATACTGAGAAGGAAAATGCAATTTAAAAAAACATGATCCTACAGAAAATTTTTAATTAAACCTATTATAAATTTAAACGAAAATCGTAGTCACCTTAATTGACATGATATTAAAGTTTAAAGGATACACGAATAAACCCTGATATGAAATAATGTTTAGTGTAATTTCTCACTAAACATTATTGTCCAATACTAGAGTCCGTTAAAAATCCCGAAATAAATTCCAGTTTTGAGATATAATGCAATCTTACTTTTCAAAAAAGCTGAAGACACCTTAAATAATGCACAGAACAAGCTGGTCATAATCATAAATAAATAAATAAGAAAGTAAATATTCAAAAATTTTAGGTATCCTAATGTGTCATTTGTTTTATGACTGTAACATCATCGGTTCTATAGGTATTATTGTTGATTACCAGCCTGTCTTCAATAAAAATAATTATAAGTGTTGTCCGTGTGGTGACGGATTAAGAATACAGAGTGTCACCACCCCTATTCATCCCGTGGGTGTCGTAAGAGGCGACTAAGAGAGCGAAATACGCAGGACAACAGCACTGCAGAGAGAAGGAAAACTTGACACAAACCCTATACCAACCCGTCTGGCCAGCGTATAGTAGGCCAAAACCTCCTTTCTAAGAAGGCCTATGTCCAGCAGTGGACTGTTAAAGGCTGTTGATGATGATGATGATGATAAGTGTATCACTAAGGGCTCACCGTTGAAAGCTGCAGTGGCAAACGAGGAACATAATAATATATTAAACGCAGCAATTACGAAATCCCAATACTAGTTATGCGTGGCTTAAACGGTCGTATCACACACGGTATACAGAAACGAAGAAGCGTATAGACTATATAAGGGAGAGTAACCAATATTCAACCGGGCGGCGCTTAATTTGGACCACTTCTGGCACTATTTTTTACACTAGCAATACAAAAAGAAGCGCTACTAATACTCCGCCATTTTGTAGCGCTCCTTTTTGGGCCAATATACTATACCAAATAGTGCCATTTTGGTAGAAATACAGAAGTGGTCCAATTTAAGCGTCGGCTCAGTATTGGTTGCTCTCCCCTATCTGTCAATTCTATAATCGACAATTTCAATTTAAACATCTGCGTCTTATATTTAAAAGAAAACAGATAAGAACATGGGCGTTCCCAGTATTTTCTTAGGGATGGGGTAAAATTAAGAAAAATAGATAAATGATTGGAATTTATTATAATATGTACTACTTTTTTATGACGGAGTGTACACCCTTCGGATTTAGGGCTGCGTCCCCTATGCAGAAGCCGAGGGCTCTGTTTTTAGCTCTTTGTTGTGAAACCTCGCATACGATGCTGTCCTTCGCACCAGTCGACTGCTATGCGGACGACACACTAATACTGGGTACTGAGTCTCGCAAGAGGTGCTTCGACTCGTCGAGCAAGGGATTGCTTATGTTGTGGAAATGTTCGTGAGCTGGGTCTGAGGGTGGCGCATCAGAAAACTCAGCCGATATGGTTCCATGGCCTACGTAAGTGCCAGAAACCACCTAATTCAAGGACCACAGAAACAAGACGTCGCCTAAATAAAGAATGCCCGAAGATGCCCACGTCATTGCAGATAGGCGCTAGGAGGGGTCGGGTTGTCTTAATAATAGCAGTTCCCGGATCTCTTCTGTTGCAGGCGCAGAGTAGCACACCGTGTGGTTTTAGTCGGTCCGATTCCGACACACCACCCTGCCGCAAACCCCGGGAGGGTTTCCACACGTAAAACAAAAAAAAAAGAGGGTAAGTCAAGCGCCTCACCTTGCCCTACTGTGGGTACGCCCATAGTTAAGAATGTACCAATCTACGAGACTAGTTGCAAATCAAATGGAGTGGAATGAAACCCCGTATTTTTGCTATGTATATACAAATATATAAATTTTGAGCCAGATGAAACCCGGAGAGCTCCCAAAAGGATGTGGATCCACTAATGTGACTTTCGGTGTATGTTCTATCCCGTATGTCTGAGGCTTGAGCTATGGGGCTGACTTGGTAACAGAAACACAATAAACAATTGAAAGAGAGAAGATTTACAAATAATATTATTAAGTGTTTATTGATGAATTATGTGTACACAAATACACATAATTCATCATCATCATCATCTCAGTCGAAAGACGTCCACTGCTGGATATAGGCTTCCCCCAAGGTTCACCACAACAACTGGTCCTGTGGAGCTGCCCGCATCCAACATAGTTATGCAATTGAAATAGGCCGTCGCCTATATGCCTGGCATAACAGACATCAAATTTACTTCTCATAAATCTGTTCCACTTACAAAACCTTATGCAATCATCATCATCAGTCATATTGGTCCGTGTGGTGCCGGATTAAGAATACGGAGTGTCACCACACCTATTCAACTCGTGGGTGCCGTAAGAGCCGACTAAGGTACGCCGGACTCGAACCAACCAAAAACCGCACGCCGTCTCAGGTACCAGTAGTCCTAGGAAATCCCTGATACCCCGACGGACCCCAGGCCATCTACGGCTTGTAGATGACCCCCTACCAGGCTTGCTTCTGCTGGGTTGACAGATGGCCTCAACTGTCACTCCCATGACTGCGCCTATGGAGGACAGAGGTCGTTCCGTGACCTCCGACGCCTGAGGCGTCTACGTTACCGAGCCCGTTCCCTGGCCTGGCGGACAGGGAGATTTCTAAATGTCTTGCGGTCCCGCTCCGCATTAGAGCATCATGGTAGGGAGTAGCCATACGCAGGCGTTTCCATCTGCCAAAGTATAAGTCCACACGGTCTTATGCATACAATAAAACTAGTTGCCGCCGGACAGCGCACTAAACTAAATCTTGTTGTCTATTAGACAACAGTACTACCGACCTACGAAAATAACAAATTGGTCAGTATTTTGCTTTAAAAGGAGATCAGCCATATCAAGTTTACAAAAATATGACGTAACCTTTTATAAGTAAGTAATTTTTAATCAAATTATTACTAAATTACAAATTTTTTAACCAAAAATTTACGAAAATAACAGTTGTATTGTTTTGGATTTGTTCACCAACACAGGCCGCTCGCTCTCATACAATATTCGGATCGGTCAAGCGACCGATCCAAGTGTCGTGTTGCTATTCGCTATCACCGAGCGATAGTGTTATTACCGGTTTGAAAATTGTTAGATATCGATAAAACAAATACATCCATGTGTCTAGTGCATCTTATCATTTATGAGATTATGTTTTCTGATATAATTATAATAATAATATAATATTCTACCACATTTACACAACGCCATCTAGTCCCAAACTAAGAAGAGCTTGTACTATGAGTACTAGACAACTGATATAAATACATAATAATTTATACTTTTTTTTTTTGTAAATACATACTTATTATACATAGAAACACCCAGACCAAATCAAACATTAAATGTTCATGCACACAAATATTTAACTTGAGCGAACCCGCGACCTTTGGAATAGCAGTCCGTTACATAAACCACTACGCCATCCAGTCGTCAAATTATGTGGATTGTAATCTTTATTTTAAAATACTTTAATATTACAATTGCTATTCCTTTTCTACCTTTTGAGGTACGGAATCCTAAAAATTATGGAGTAAGAGCACTGCAGACTAAAATGAATGTTCTTTGCTCATTAATATTTTTTGTATTCATATTGTTTTGACTGCACGGATGGCGTGGTGGTTTAAGCGGTCACCTTGCCGCTTCCTACTGCGTCTAGTGTTGTGGGTTCGATCCACAAATGGGACAACACTTTGTGTGATTCACAAATTATTGTTCTGAGTCTGGGTGTTCATTGTGTCCCTTCATGTATGTTTGTCAAGTCCCCCGTGACACAGGATTATATTCCTCATCCGGGAGTTATAAAAAAAGTTTTTTTTTTTGAAGTGTCAATTTGAAACCTATAATTTAGCTACCAAACCGGGACATGTCCCGGTGTACCGGGACGTAATGCAGCTCTTTATTAGTCGGACATGATAGTGTACTACGCCTATATCTACGCTTTAGCCATTGTGCGATAGGTAGGTACATTACGTACAAATAACCTAAATCAATGATTTAAAACACAAACTATTTTTTAATAGAATTCCGAAGAATTATTGCAAGCTCAGATCAACTTTTTATTTAAATAACATGATTATGCGAACTTACCAGACTAAGTTCAGCTTGGGCTAATTAATGTTCTTAAAAAAAAATAAGACAGAAAAAATTAATCAAGACTTGGAATATTATTACATCGAGTAGAAAACTTAATAATGATTAAACATACCTACCGTATAGTGAGATAAACAGAACGGTTTAGAAGCATGGCGAAATTTGAGTTAGCGCAATTTGTGTTATACTAGTATAACGTGTGGAAAGCATCAATAGCAACAAAGTATACAGAGTTCGACATCGCTATCTTAGAACGCGCATGCGTGCTTAAACGCGCAGACTGGAAAAATCATTACAGGCAGTATACCTTCATTGCAATGGAAACAGTGCGAAGGTAAAGTGTTCAACTCGACATTGCCACTTCGTCATGAAGGAGGCATTAAAAGAGAGTTATGAAAGATGCTGTAGACTATGTGCCGAAGAACAAGATGTCACAATAATGATATTCAGTCAAGAAGCAGAAGATATGCTTCTGCTAAACAAACTAAATGAATATTTACTAATTGAAGTAAGTTTACGTAATTTTTAATTATAACGAAAGCAACATTTATATATAATTTTTAATATTTACGAACTTATATGGACAAAGACATGGTACTCAAATTGCTTGTATAAATATATTTCAATTCACAGGTAGATGAAGACGATAAGTTGCCAAAAAATATTTGTATACAATGCTGTACAAAACTACAAACAGTGTGCGAATTTATAGATACAGCGCGAAAAGCACAAGATCTACTCCTTAAACGAAGTTTAATATTAGATGATTTACTATCTCAAAAATGTGAAATTTCTTCAATAAAATGTGAAGTGAAGTCTGAGCCTGAGGATGAACCAGATGATGACAGTAAATATACGGCAATAGAAGTTAGTGTAGATCCCATGATGGTTTTGCAAAATTCCCAAGAATTGTTATCACCAAACAACAATGAGAATGTCACAGTAGAAGATGTTACCTATTTACATGGAGTGGATGCAGAAAATGTTACAATTAAGTTAATAAAAAAATGTGAAAAAGTTCTAGAAGAAAATTTGACAAATAATGATGATGATGATAATGATGAAGAAGAAGATGAAGATAAAAAACCAGATAAACCAAAACCTTTTCCATGCTTAACATGTAAAAGAAGTTTTTGCACAGATATAGCATTAAAAAACCATACATGGCAACATATTGGTGCAAATACTCCCTATGAGAAATATACATGCAGCACATGCAAGGAAACATTTCAATATAAAAATGCTTTGATAGCTCATTTAAAAATACATAATGAAAATGGTTTATGTCAACTTTGTGGAAGAATGTAAGTAATGTGTACATTAGTTATATATTTAAAAAAACAATTATTATTATTATTAAAAGTTCTAGGTGCGTGATACAAGTGTTATCAAATGTAAAACATAGTAGTTTTACATGTAGTATGTAAACAGGAGTGGATAAAATAAGAGAATCAATATATCATAATTGATTTATATTAATGTGCAGTTTTTGGTCACTGCTCTTTGTATTGGTTGTTAAATGTGCAAAATATTAATACTCTATTTAATAGACTGAGTGAAATTAATAAAGAATAAACAGTTTATTTATATAAATGTATTATTTACCATGACCTAATTTACTGTTATTTTTTAAACATTAAAAATGTATTGCTAAATATTTTTTTGACTTACAGGTTCAGATCACAAAAAAACTATATTGCTCATATGGCAGTTCATTCGCCAACAAACAAATCATACACTTGCAAAATTTGTGGACGTTCTTACAACACTTGGGGTAATTTACGAACTCATAGCATTGCACACAGTAGTGAAAAACCATATCAATGCCATATTTGTAAAAAAACCTTTAAGAGAAATCAAGATTTAAAGGTAAGTTTCTGATACCAAATAAATTTTATTGAACTGAAAAAGCCTGCCCAGCCTGAGTAAAAAATTAAAAAGACATCGCTTTTCAAATTCCCCGCGAATTAAGTTGTTTAAATATATATTAAATAAAAATTTGTTAACCAGCGAGGAGACTACAATCTATCTCTATGCCCAATTCCATCCAGTACTGTTCAGCCATTCAATGAATTACAACAACAGACATCTCTAAAAAAAATTCCCCATTTATAATAACAATAACATATTTATACATAAACCTTATGTACATACATGGTCTTAAATTTGTAAAAAATACAGAACCATTATGGGCCCTGTTTAGCACAGAGAAAGGGTTAAGAGAGAGGAAGAGGGCAGAGCAGTAATAACTTAATAAGTCTCTATTTTTTTTTTTTTTTTTAATGAGTAAATAGGTACATATACTGATATAATATGTAATATATAATAATATATGTAAGAAATACATTTCATTCATCATTAACATCATTATACAAATAAACTTTTACTATACGCCCTATCATACTATCTTTCAGACCTGACATAAGTCTTACAATGAACGCCATTGATATATGGATAATCAAGTCGTGTCTCCCATACGACTTAACCTTAAACAAGTATACTATTTAACTTCAAATTGAAATTAACATTCATATATATATACGGTAGGTCTATGATGTCTAAAAACTTAGCTAACAAGCTGAGATTTAAAGTGCGTACCCAATGTGTTACCAGTTTTCATAATACAGTAAATATTTAAGTACCAAGTCTACTCGTTAACTTTGGGTTAATGAGAAATCCTCATCATTGACTCAAAGTAGTTCACAACTCACAACTATTCATAAGATCCTACTAAAGAATAAAGGAATGAAGTTCCTAAATTATTTGCCTTGTTTCTTCACCTATTTCATTTGGCAAAAGTGTCATAACTTACTTTTAGTTACGGTGACAAATGTCACAAAAATGCCTAGAGATGGGCATTTTAGTTCACTCAATCAAATTGAGTAAAATTTTTGTTCAATCAAATATTATTAAATAAGTAGAGAGCAAAATCATTTAGTGACACACAGCAATAAATGTTTCATTAATCATTATCATACACTACTCACAAGAATTAAAGGATATAAAACACATATAAATATTTGGGTGATTTTCAACAAGATGTAACGCCGAGCAAAATGATCGTATAGCAAAATAAAAAATGCAAATTATAGCTCTAAGTGAGTAGTTTTCAGAATAAAATAGCCAACACGTGTCCCAGAAAATCGCTGAGAAATTCAAAGCGCTGCGATTTATTTTTCTTAGTCTTTTGCACAACGGTAATTCTGCGAAAACGAAAAATTTGAAGCTTCAGGGCACTAGGAAAAAATTTGAATTTCTTTGCCGGGATTTTATTTTTCGTTAAGTTGTTCTGGTCGCAAAGTTTAGTAGTTTGTTTAATGTTATTTACATTCTTAAAGTTGTTTCTACCGACCTGGAAGACTTGCTCAACGCAGATTAAAAATAATTAGGATTTTATACATTTCAAATATGTATTTTTTAAATTATTTCAGTTTCATATTAACCAACACACGGGAGCAAGACCTTATAAATGCCCATTTTGTGACAAGTGCTTTGCAAGTTCCGGCAACTGTTACTCTCACAGAAGTCGAATGCATCCTGGGCGATTTGTTGAAAGTAAAATAAGAAGATATAATACTTCAGTTAAAAAAGACAAATCACCACCATCTAAATCGTCACCTCGACCTATTGCTCCTAAAGGTTCTCTTACAGTTGTAAAAGGTGTATTCAAATATCTATGCTCATTGTGTAATGCCAGTTTTGTAAAAAAGGACAATTTCACTGTGAGTATAATTAATCAAACTATTTTTTTCAGCTGTAGTTATATAAATATTGTGTCCTGTAATAATTATTCATGTACTTATTTATTATTTTAGTACCACATGTATCAGCATACTGGTGAAAAACCATTCCAATGTTCTTTTTGCCCGGAACAGTTCGTTACTAGAGGAGGTCTGTTATTACATCATGACAAGGAGCATCCTGGCAAAAACCGACCGTTAGCTTTACTATCTAAAAATATTTTGCTCAAATAATACATTTTGAAAATAACTAAGTATTTTATTATTTAGCCTTATGAACCACGAATGATTCTTTCGAATCTTTGATAAAAAATATATTATGAAATCACTTATACAATTCCTCAAGAAAAAAGCGAGTAAGCGAAGCCTGGTGATGATAAAATATAAAACAAAATAATAAAATAAGCTTGTAAACTTTCGGGTGACACGTTTTTGACTGTTTTTAAACGTTGCGTGGCGGAAGGAATATTTCCTCGTATTTGGCGGTGCGGTAATATTCATAAAATATCAAAAAGCGGCGACAAGTTGCAGTATGATCCTGAATCCTACCGACCAATCACATTGTAACTATCGTTAGGAAAGCTTTTAGAACGTCTTGCAGTGCACCGCACCGGCTTCTGCCGGGTGGAGTTAAATTTCATGATAGACGATTTGGATTTACGTTGGGGAAATCGACAATTGATGCGGTTATATCGGTAAGGAAGTTTGTCACAGAGTCAAAATTTCAATACCTGTTGGTTATTTTATTAGATATATCTGGCGACTTCGACAACGCATTGTAGCCCATGCTATCGCTGAAAGTAAAATTACGAAGGGGCTTTAAAAATATTTATTCCCTTATTTCTTCGTACTTTTCACAAGCTACAACTAAATTAAGACTTGGTCCTCGTTCTCGTGTCAAAGGCGCTTACAATGGGTTGTCCTCAGGGATCAGTGCTAGGTCCATACTTGTGAAATATCGGCTTCGAAGATTTTCTTGCGATACCAATACCATCCGTATGTACTCTGAACGCGTATGCTGATGACGGCTTATTACTGGTGGAATCTGATACTAGGGCGGGGCTTGAAAGATTAGCTAATAGATGTTTGAACTTGACATCTCATTGGGGTGAACGTAATCGCCTAATTTTTGCACTTAACAAAACCTTCCAGCTAATTTTAAAAGGTAACCTCAAATCACCCCCGAGCATTAGAGTCACTGTAAAAAATAAAACCTTAGTTTGTTTTTTAGGATTGGTTATAGAAAGAAACTTTTCATTTATCGAACATATTAAAATAGTTAATAAAAAGTCTAAAACGAGTTTCTGTGCATTGACAAGGATATCAACTGCGATATGGGGTCATCATCATTTAATACACTAAAGATCATATATGGAGCTACTCATTTAGGTTCTATGTGCTATGGTGAACCTGTATGGGCCGATAGGGCAACCGTGGGCGCTGTCTGTAGCAGACTGTTACAAGGCCAACGGCTCGCACTGATATTCTTGTGGAAGGCATATAGGACAGCTAGAACTGAGGTTTTGCCGGTGTTGGCGGGTGTGCTTCCGATCGATCTCGAGGTGCAAAGACGTGCAGCCATGTACTATTCAACACTAGAAAACATTCAATGCGATTATGTGCGTGCACGGGATCGCGATATAATCGCAAGATTGCTTCAACGGTAGTCCGATGTTTATGATGACCTTATGGACGAATGGCGGAAACGCTGGGAAGAATCATATAAGGGGTGCCACCTATACCAGTTCTTTCCATCTGTCTGCAAACGTCTGTTAAGGGCATGGCTTGAGGATCACTGTGCCGCTAAATTTCTTAAAGATCATGGTAACTTTAAGAGCAAACGCTATTCATTTGAATTAGTTGTCCGTGTGGTGGCCTAAATAAGAATACGTAATGTCACCACCCCTATTCATCCCGTGGGTGTCGTAAGAGCCAACTAAGGGACCAAACTACGCAGGACAACAGCACTGCAAAGAGAAGGAAAACTTGAAACAAACCCTATACCAACCCGTCTGGCCAGCGTGGTAAAGTAGGCCAAAACCTTTTTTCTAAGGAGAGGCCTATGTCCAGCAGTGGACTGTTATAGGCTGTTGATGATTGATGAGTCGAGTCACCATGTTCAGCACTTGACTCTAACTGTGAACAGTCTGCTCATTATATCCTTTGGGAATGTAGTCTTTGGTGTAATGAAGGTAATATAATGCTGAACAGCTTACAGGTGACATCTGGAGCAGTATACAATGGGGATCTTGTGTCAATTAGGGTGAATTTCCGAGCACCAGGGACTTCCTTTCTAGGGTAAACCTGGTTCCCCGGCTATTAGTAACCGAGACGGCGTGCGGTTTCAGTCGGTTCGAGTCCGACATGCCACCGATAGGTGGTATTCGAGGTGATTTCCGCACGGAAAAAAAGGGTGAATTTCCGTGAGTTTAGGCGATCTGGTAAACAAATTATAGAAATCAAATATAAGTTGCCCGTTCAAAAGTGTAAAGCCAGTGTTGCACTATAATAATAATGGGAATTTAAACTGAGAACCTCCTTTTTTGTCAGTTAATTAACAATCAAGTTGTAAAAAGTCATAAGTTAATAACTATGTATCTCATTGTGAGTGAACTAACTGTAAGTTCTTATGAGAATAAAATTCTTTAAACCCAAAAGAAAGCAACTTACTTTTTTAAAATATTATATATACATATTAATGTATCGATAGATTGTGTTTTACTTTTGGTTAATCCTTATGCCAAAAGACGTCAAATTCATAAACTTTTTTTTATATGTATCAGAAAATCTGAAAAGTAGGTTATTTATTACATTCATAACAAAGAGACATAAACGATGGAAGATGGAACTGCGCGATTATAAATACTCACTTGTGCTAAACATATGTTCATGAAAAATAAAAAGTAATCAAAAATTGTTTTTATTATAGTATTAACATCCGGGTTAATCTATAATATTCTATCCGGGATAATATTCTAAAGTTGAAAATAATTGTAAATAATACTGTTGGTTGCTTGGGAAAGATCAATCGAAATCGTTTATAAAATCGTATAAATGAATGTCTTCCAAACCTTAAAACTGGCTAAAGTGTTAAATTGATAAAAAAGAATTGATAATTTTTTTTTTATGTGTCTTACCCCACTGGAGGAAGATTGACGCTGAGGTTTTCAAAGTTACCATAACTGCTAAGTTAAATGTCCTATTATACAAATAGATATTTATATTGTTGCTAATAGTAATAGGGGTGCCCACCATGCATCTATTCTTAGAGGATTTAAGTACAACCCCTTAAATTATGTGAAATTGTTGTGAATGGATAATTGACCATTTGTGAAATCAACATGACTACCATAAGCCTCTTAATCAAGTAAGTTTTTCTTTTCCAAAGACTCCCTGTCCTTGGAAAAGAACACACTGACACTTGACATTTTTCTTTGTAATTGTAAAATATTTTCATCTCCATCAATCCTCCAGCTAAAGAGAGGAATAAAAGTATATTTCAATTATTATTTTTTTATCTTTTTTTAAAAAAAAGCCATACGCCTCACAAGCTAAGAGTAACAAAAACAATGTAAGTAGGTAATGAAAAGAGTGAAAGTAATTCGTAATTAAAAGAGAAATTCGTAAAACTACTAAAACAAATGTGACTTTAGCACTTTGACAGTAAAATTAGTCCGGATTAAAGTTATCCTCAACAGCGCTGTCTCTTATTGACAAGCAAAAAGACAAGATTGAACATATATGTCATAATAATATGTTTACATTTTTTTACACAAATAACTTGTGAAATAAATTTAATAAAAACACTGTAGTACCTATGCGAGAAAGAAAGATACAAATTTACTGAAAATTGTTGAAAAGACATCGTGTTTTTTGACGACCTTCAAATACGACCTTTACAAACAACTTGTCAATAGAAATAGTTAAATGCGCATGCGTAGATTAGCCGTCAAATTTTGTTTGGCGCGCTGATAACTAGGAACACTTGATCGCAATGAAATTATTCATTTTAGTCGTTCAGCAGAAACCACATATAACTCACGTCGTTAATCACGTGTGCATAAAATTTATTGTGTTTACCGAAAATGTCTTGTGAAGAGTTAAATAAAAATATAAAGATGGCTAGGCAGAATGGTATTGTGCAACCTTTACTCACTGGTGAGTGTAGAATTTACTTATTTTGGAGCGAATTTCAAAATGTCAAGTGTACTTTAGACTAGGGTGAGTATAAGAATCATGTTTGCTGCTCTAAAGTAAGTTTTAAACAATTTTTTATGTTACTTACTATTTAATTTTAATTACAATTTTTTCATTGATCTAGGAAATGTATATCATTAAATCTTTCAAAGGTTCTACACTTCTACAGACACATAGTTAATGAAAACTTTATTTAGAGAATTGTTAAATTGCTAATAATATGTAACTAGAAGGAATTTATTTAAAGGTAGTTATGATCATAATAAACTTTTCTATGTATGTATGTATCATATGTGTTTATGATTTATGCAGATCTTTACCAAATCACTATGGCATATGCATACTGGAAAGCTGGTAAAGTCAATGATGTGGCTGTGTTTGACTTATTTTTCCGCACCAATCCATTCCAAGGGGAATTTACAATTTTTGCTGGCCTTGAAGAATGTTTAAAGTTTTTAGTGAATTTTCACTATTCCGAAAGTGGTATGTAATTTAACTAAAACATTTTTGTATCTATTCTATTAACATTTACAGAATATTTAATCACTTGTCAATTGCAGACATAGAATATTTGATGCAAACTTTACCTGAAAATATTGAACCTGAGTTCTATGGGTATTTGAAAGACTTAACTTGTAAGGACATTAAACTTAGTGCTATTGAAGAAGGATCTGTTGTTTTTCCAAGGTTTGTCTTATGATATTGTCCTTAATATTAGTTATCTCATTTATATATTTTATTTTATTTATTTATTTTAATTCTTTTTGCACAAAACAAAGTACAATGGCGGACTTAATGCCAAAGGCATTTTCTCCCTGTCTACCTTTGGGTGGTGGGGAAATGTCTGAGTAGGTGCATGAAATTGAAATTAGGTTACATACATACTGAGATACACATACATATATATACTTATATTATATATATACTTATATTATATATATTATTAATTATATATATTATTAATTATATATTTTTTTGGTCTATTGTTGCTGTGGCGGAACTCATAATCTTGTTTGATGAGTTGTTCTGTAGTGGTTTCTTGGTTCCATAAAATAAATATGTAATGTGTTGTAGATAATATCTTTCTTCTAAATTGTACAATACCTTTTTAGTGTGCAATAAAGGGTATTTATCTATGTATAATCTGGCTCAGAATTTTAAATGCATATACTCAAATTTAAATGATTTATAACACTTAGTCAAATTTATAATTTGTATGCAGAAGTTGTATTTTATAACTAACTACCTGACCCGGCAAACGTTGTATTGTAAAACAAAAAAAAATTAGGGATGAGTCACCCTTAACATTTACGGGTATGAAAAATAGATGTGGACCGATTCTCAGACCTACCCGATGTGCACACAAAATTTCATAAGACTCATTTCATAAGATTTACTAGGAATTACTGGATAATTCTTTATGATGTCACAAACACATTACAAGCTATGCTTTCTTGGTCATCTCAATATGAGATATTAGTTCGTGTTTCTGGGGTCCATATTTTTTAGAACTGCTAGTAATCTGATAATGTACTCATATCCCTACCAGTAAGGAAACATACCCATGATATATGAGCCATTCAGAGAGGGCTCTTCAAAATACTACTCATGCTTACAGGGCTTACAGAGTCAGGCTTCAATGTTTGTCATCTTGTTAATATCATATACAGCAAGTGCTGAACTAATACAGACAAATATGAGCCATAGATTTTTTATTCTGTTTCCAGAAGTGATTTAAAATAAATCATATTTATGAATTACTATGTAAAAACTAGAGGGAAGGGGTTGGTTTGTCTGCATCTCTCAAAAGAAATTAATTTTCTCCGTTTTTGTAAAAAAAATATTGGTTGGGTTTATTGATCGTAGTATGATGTTATATAGCCTATAGCCATCCTGGATAAATGAGCTATCATACACTAAACGAATTTTTCAATCTGAATCAGTAGTTCCTGATATTAGCACTTTTAACCTAACAAACTCTTCCATGACAATCAAGTTGATGAGAAATAAACCCATACTAGGCCGTCACTTATACTAGACTATCCCCTGATTGGTATATGGTCACCTTATACTTATTTTGTCAGTCGTTCCACTCTCATTAAGCACCTTAGTATATGCTTTTCATTTCAATATCTAGATATATGTCTTATGAATGAAATTGTGTCAGAACCTGATAAACATTTCATTATCTTATTGTTTTTAATATATATCAGATTAATTCGGTTTTTTGATTTTTCATGCTCGAATTACATTCTAAATAACTTGATAAGCTTCCTCGTCAAAGGTAAGATGAGGAGAAATGATCCAACTGAACTGTTTTACATGAATGGCACGCGATGGCTAACGCGATAGGCCGCGGTGGCAAACAACCACTGGCTGCGGTCGTAGGTAGGTAGGTAGGTAGGTTCATGTGTTTGTCCACTCTGTCAAAGGAGAGTAACAGAAAATTATTTCTTGAATAGAACGCACATGACTTATTTATGTGATCTGATCAAACCTGTTTCTTTCTAATTGCATGGAAGAGCCACTTATAGTCCATTCGCGTTAAGAAAATAGTGACGCATTCGCTTTCGTACGAAACGATAATTTCTTGAAACCTGATCGAAACCTGACCAGGGTGCAGAGCTTGATCGATGCGTCACTATTTGTTTAACGCGAATGAATTATAGTAACTTTATTTTGGCAGAGAGCTCAAATAGTGAAGAATTAAAAAAAATCTCTAAAATTCTCTAAATTTCGTCCTTCCGATTGTTTTAAGAATTAAATTAACTAATCTTAGCCAAGGTGTATCGAGATTCACAGAAATGGTTGTTTATGCGTATCCGCGGTTTAAATCCATTTTTTTATACGTCTTCTGGATTGGCATGAAAATACTATTACCTACTACTTTATGTATGAACATACATCATATACTATTCTCATCACTGTTGCAATTAAAGGCTTCATAATATAAGTTGTGACCGTTTATCTTACAGAGTACCCCTATTAAGAGTTGAAGGACCTTTAATTGTGGCGCAATTGCTGGAGACAACTTTGTTAACCCTTGTTAATTTTGCAAGGTAAGTCTCTTTGATTAAGTAGTGATTCATTTAATTAATATACATAGGTTATTATCGGTTTAAGCACAAAATGCGGCAACGAATACGTCCTTACAAAGGTTGCTTGGAATAGACATTGCTTTAAAGTTAAAAATGTCTTATCCGCAAAACAATTTTCAAGTTCAAACTGATTAATTATTTTTTATTCGGTTATAGAAATATGTACGTAATATCTCTGCGGCAGAATCCTGATTTTTTCTAAGATAACATTAGCCTAAGTTACTCCATCATCCGTGTGGTGACGGGTTAAGAATACGGAGTGTTACCACCCCTATTCATCCCGTGGGTGTCAAAACAGGCCAAAAGCACTCGCCGTCACGCCGTGCTACGTAGACGACACACTCGTGACGGCGTGCGGCAAGACGCACCGTTAGGCAACCCTGAGGGCCACTTCCGGGGTTGCCCAAGTCGTTGAGCGGATCCGGCGGCTAGGTCTCGAGGTGGCTCTGCACAAATCCGAGACATTGTTCTTTCACGGGCTTAGGAGAAGCCACTTGAGAGCTCCAGCTTCATAGTAGGAGGCACTCGCATCGGTTTCGAGCTTTCTATGAGGTATCTGGGGCTCGTATTTGATGGCCGATGGGACTTCGGATATCATTTCCGAGGTCTGGTCCCCAAGTTGGTTTGAGGAGCGCGTGCATTAGCGCGGCTGCTGCCCAACATGAGGGGACCCGATGACTCGGGGGTTGTGCGGCCCATGGCCCTTTATGGGGCCCCAATATGGGCGGGAGCCCTGAAGGCCAGCAACGTCGCACTGCTGCGACGACCGCAGCGAGTGCTGGCCATCAGGGTCATAAGGGGGTACCGCACGACCTCCTTTGAGGAGGCGAGTCTCCTGGCCGGAACTCCACCGTGGGACCTGGAGACGATAGCCCTTGCGGCTCTGTATCAGTGGCGCTAAGAGGCGCGGGAGTTGGGTCGGAGTCCTGAGACTCGAGACATCCAAGACCAGAAATCCCAACTCCACCGGGTCCTTGTAGAGGAGTGGAAGGATGGAGTGGACTTGTGCTACCGAGCCCCTGTCACGCCATTATCGCAGTGGTAAGACCTGTTATGGAGGATTGGCTCGAGAGGCATCACGGGACCCTCTCATACCGGTTGACGCAGGTGATCACACGCAGGTGAAACGGCGCTCCACACGCTGTCAGAATGCCCGGCGTGGATGGAGCAGAGGCGTGACCTCGTTGTGGCCATCAGGGTGGGAGTTCTTTCGCTCGGTAGCATGATTGTGGCCATGGTGCGGAGCGAGTATACGTGGAACTCCGCCGTATACGTCAGGGTACCAGGGATTTATTTCCTAATAATCTACATACTAGATAGTAAACGGCGCATTGTCTATACAATGACTAGTTTTCTACAATGTAAAATCTGTACAAGTAAATGAAATTGGGAGTCTGTTTCTGATCTCATAATAATAACTTTATTAAACGCGGCTCCATTACACGGTACTTTTGTACAATCAATCATACATAATCATAACACCTATATATTTCCAATATCTATGACTTCTCTAATGTCCCTCATAGATACGCGCGGGTGGCTTTAGTCGGTTAGATTCCGACACACCGCCCCACCGCGGAATAAAATGCCACCGATAACCAGAAGAAGTTTCCTCGTAACGGATGTAAACAAATGTTTAGAACAAATTAGAGCTAAACCCTTGTCTATCAAGTCACTTTTTAAACAAAAAAATACTAAATGAAAAACGATATCTACGTTATACGCAGCGATATACAAACACGTCAATCTTCTAACACCCCTTCTTGCATTGGGGTTAAGAAATAAAACATTATAAGGTAGGTACTTTAAATACGAAAAAAGAATACAGAATTATTTGTATTGTGTTTCAATGAGCAAGGTCTGCACAGAAGGCAGTGGTGCAGTATTGTCAGAGCGTATTACGACATTTTATAACTTAGTAACTTGGTCTTGCGTTAATATTAATAAATTTGCCCCATTTTTGCAACATTTCCCACCGTTAAATGGGCTATCCAACACTAAAAGATTTTTTCAATTTAAACCAATACTTTCAGAGCAAACAAACAAATTAACTCTTCAGCGTTACAGATTGGTGTCACACGAGTTGTAGTTAATTTGTCATTGTTAATTAGCTTCTTGACTACTCTCCGACACGATTACATAATTCATCATGATGCCAAGCTAAGCCTTTATGTTACGCAGATAGAAACGTTTTTCATGAAATCGTATGTTATTATCAGTCAGTCAGGCTTGGATAGTTCGGTTAATTGCAAGTTGCGTTCAATGCGTTAACAATAGGGTTTGTCACCCGGCCTTTGATAATTTTGTAATAAGTACCTGCAAGATAGTTGCCATTGATGGTGAATAACATTTATCTTTCGGCTAATCATTATATTGAAAAAGATGGTGTGTTTAATTCATGTTCACAAATTAGATAGGTAGAAAACAGCAATGGGATAGTCGAACCATGACACACATTTCTTGGAACTAATATCGTTTAAATAGATAATAAATATATCTCTTATCTTCTGAGCATAGAAGTAAATCAAAATATCGCCCGGTACAGAAAAATACGGGTAAACTTATACGCTATATTCACATCACACACACACATCAACAGCCTTTAATAGTCCACTGCTGGACGTAGGCCTCTCCTTAGAAAGGAGGTTTTGGCCTACTATACGCTATATTGTATAATAATTATTTTGAACTGCAACATTTTGTCCGCAGTTTAATGGCAACGAATGCGGCAAGATACAGAATGGTCGCTGGAAAAAATGTTTCTTTGCTCGAATTTGGATTACGAAGAGCACAAGGCCCCGATGGTGGATTATCAGCCTCTAAATACGCTTATATTGGTAAGTTACGTATTTCTTTGTCTTATATTTTAGACCTGTATAATATCGTTAACTATGGTGTATTTCGGCGGAAATTAACATGTCATTGTATTATTGATTGTATTAGCGTGTTGCCGCAGCTTGGGCGGGTAGATAAACTGGGTGCCTGGTACGAAGTTCACCGGAGCTATTCAAACTTGTGCACTATAAAACACCCTGCTGCGCCATTGACTCATGAGATCTCCCAATAGCGAATATACCTTTGGTTAATAGGTTTAATCAGGCAAGTTTCGCGAACTTTGGCCTTGAATGTCTCACCCCTTTGGTACTCACGTACCGACTTCCACCGAAGTTTTAAATTGCTTTTACTATACCTAAATTTCGAGGTTTACAGACTGTAATATTACCTCGAAATTTAGGTATAGTAAAGTTTTGATATTCCCTAAGTTATCGTACATTGGAACTTATTAAATAACTAAACTACTGCAAGTAGTGTGGGCAATCTTCAAATGTCCACTACAGTTTTTAGTTGGATATTTATGAGATAGACAATTGAGAACTGATAGGAAATCAAAGTTACCGACGCATTTGGTATCTTGGTATCTTGGCTCTTTAGTATTGGTTAATTTGGATGCGATGCCGTTAGATTTGTAATTGGATATTTTTTTTAGGTGGATTTGATGGTACAAGTAATGTGTTGGCAGGCAAAATGTTTAATATACCTGTCAAAGGCACGCACGCACATTCGTTTGTGACATCATTTAGCAACCTAAATGATATACAATCGGTCACTATAAGGCACATGGACACACAGGACCCTTGTAATCTTCTCGAACTGGCGACCGAGTGGCGGAAGCGAGTGTCTGCCATTATCGATATATCTCCGGACGAAGCAAGTGACGGCGAACTAGCCGCACTCCTATCGTATGCCTTAGCGTTCCCCACCGGATTTTTGGCACTAGTGGATACGTACGATGTCAAGAGGTACAATTTTCAAGGCTTACCGTCACGACACAGGCAGCATAATATGAATGGGCATTCTGGCTACAATAGCAACTGTGGAACCAATGGTACTACAGTACTAAACTCACCGAGCATACATAATACATATGGATATAGCACGGTCGAACGCACACTGAGGTAAAGATGCAAATACACAACTCATATTGACATTTGGTGTCTCATAAAATTGTATTGTGTTGCATTTTCATTTACATATGTTATGTGAAGTTTTCTATATTATATTTAGATGGTTTTATGTGCTGGCTGACGTCAAGTCACCGCAACTTTCATTTACATTACTCGTAATTTAGGGGGCATGAGAAACTCATACCACCGGGAGAAATAACATAATGCAAGCACTCCTAATAACACATCGCCGGGATTATATGCTGGGATACATTTACAATTCATGGCTGTAGTTTAAGATATTTTTTTATTATTTGGCTTTTTCAGTGAAGCGTATGTGGACGGCGCTTCATATACAACCGAATGTAAATACATGAGACCACATCCTACGAGAATTTTATATTTGCTTCAGTGTGACGTATTGTCGTGATCCTATGAGCAAAATTAGGGGCAGTATTAATCATTGGGCACAGTTGCATTGTATAGGGATATGCACACATTCACAGTATTCACTGCAATATGTATGCATGTGGAGGTACCATTATGCACTTTATATTAAAATAGTAAGACTGGTTTTGTTTTTATTTTTGTTATTATAAAACTTGGTAATGAATGACAATAAGTATTTGTTACCCAGTGTATTGTTAACTGCTAATGACATCATTCTGCACATCTTTAACATGCACACGAGACCTCATTGTACTGCTCTACTGCTACATAAATCTAATATTGACAATGTCAACCACATTTTAATCAATAGTACACTTATTAAATATATATAGTTAGCTGTTTATAAAATTAAAGTATCAATTTTGATGACATCATTAGCGAATGAATGTGGTACCTATTTTTTCAAATACTTTTTTGACAGGAGTGGCTTGCTAAACTTCTGTGCCGTGGCTCTTGCGCTAAATGACTGTGGATACAGGGCTGTCGGTATTCGTATCGACAGCGGTGACCTGGCTTATTTGTCTGTATTAGCACGGGAGACCTTCGAAAACATTGCGGAAGTTCTCAAACTGCCTTGGTTCGCTAAGCTGACGATTGTAGCCTCTAACGACATAAATGAAGAAACTATATTGAGTTTGAACGAGCAGGGTCACAAAATCGACTGTTTTGGCATTGGAACACATTTAGGTATCGTTTACAAGTGTTTTTGTTCTAATTATTATTATGTATTGTATAAGGATTTAATAAACGAGAAGAAAGTCCATACTGATAGATTATGTAACTTTTCATCTGCACTTCAAATAATTACACCATGATATACACATGTAGGCCGCCCTGGATTAGTTGGAAAGACATATAAAATTGTTTGTCTGTTTAAAACGTCCATGTTTTTATGACTTCCAACACTAAAGCGTGGCTAAATTTTCAACAATATTTTTTCATCTACTCGTATTATAGCTGCGTCAGGAACAATAGTACTAATGCTTTGTAACATGTTTAAACCTGTTCTGGTTATCGTAAATTTATAGTATTGCAATATTCTTCTTATCAATATTGCTTTCCATTTAAAGGAAAAACATACACCTACTTATATAAAACCAAATAACACATTTAAATTAATGTTGTAAATTGTCATTTTACAAAGACTAGGGTTAACTATGTGATCGTTAATACTTAAAATTTATGGATAGGTATGTAATTTTGTTTTGCAATGTTTTTTACGATATCAGACTTACTCAATTAGGACCTATTCTGTAAAAAATAAACCATTTATTTAGTCGAGTCGAGTCTAAATAAATAGTTTCGAGTCGAGTCTTACTTCGAAATAAAAACAGACGGCTCTGGAACAGCCATCGGCGCAAAACCAATGTCCAAAGGACTCCATGGGATTCGTATGGATTCCATACTTGAGATATAAATAACCAAAACTACAAAAAATATGTAAACTGAATCTTGACTGAACTGATAATATGATCATAAATATATTCAACACTATCTATTCGGTATTCCCGTTTCTTTTTAATTGCAATGCATACGTATTAAAAATGTGTGTTGTATTTAAACTTGATGTTAATGTTCATGTCAATCCTTAAAATTTAATGAATTTGTAATATAGTTCAAAATTAAAAAAAATGAATGATAAAAGACGACGCGACATTAAGACGTTTTAATTTATTTTTGAAAGACAACTCCCGCACTAAGAATAAATCCTAGGGACTTTACAAACATACATGAAACGGACAAACAGAACACTTAGACTAGAACAACAATTTGTGGATCACACAAAGTGTGTGGGGATTGAGCGCAGTAGGAAGCGGCGAGGTGACCGCTTAAACCACTACGCCATCCTTGCAGTCGATTTGTTTACATTAAAATCCAAAAAAGTATCCTAATGACACCCAAAATTGTCTTATAGCTTCTCAAGTGCATTATATAGTTTCGTTGTATAAACATTATTCAGAGCTAATCTTACATTCTAGTTACGTGTCAACGACAGCCGGCTTTGGGATGTGTATACAAGTTAGTGGAGATAAACGGTCACCCCAGGATAAAACTTAGCCAAGATGTAGGAAAAGTCACAATACCCGGTCACAAACAGGTATGTACAATCATTTAGTTTGTATTTAGTAGTTATGTAGATCATCGTGATATTCTTTCTTTTACCCATACATTATTCATCATTAGCAGGGTACTGATTGATGCGAAGAACGAAATTGAGGAAACGACGACACGAAGGAGGTTTTCTTTTGCACAGTTTCCCCAATTGCTATTTTATATTCAAAGGAGAGCGACTTGAATCGTCTATTGTCAGGATATTTGAGATCACTTGACTTCCGGTGTTGCCTAGAAATTCTCTCTTTATTTTCTATCGCTTGTAAATGTTGGAAGTGCTTGAGGAATTGTTCGGACAACGATAGCAGCTTTCCGCTATCGTTCGACGCGACAAAACTTCCATCCCTATCACTTCCAAGCGGCACTTAACCACTGTGCGCTTTTTAAATATATATTTTTCTTCGCACAATAAATTGTTGCCTACGGACCGAAATGACCTAGCTTCCAACTCAAGTGGGCGGCGTTAGTCATTTACCATCAGGTGACTCGTTTGCTCGTTTTCCCTTAAATCATAAAAAAACCTATATAGTATTGTATTGAAATTCAACACAATAATTAATAGGTAGTATCAGTATTAAAATTTCCGACAATATCGATACTATCTATAGTAATTAATAGAGTCCACTGAGTTGATAATATTGATTGTATTGATAGTCATTTAGGAATTTAATAGGAATTCAATCAAATTGTTTTCAGTATCGATGTTTTTGTAAGTGGTGATATAGCACTATGTATAATATTACTATTTTTCAAGGTCAACTATCGATAGCATCTATAGATCGCAATAAATTGACATAAAACACCGAAATCGCCGTTACGTCTTCTTGAGCTCAGCCCTAAATATACTTGTTCTTGATGACAGTGGCGGTGAACAAACTGTCCTCAACATACGGTCCATAATATACATCTATGTACGAGAATGTTCAGCCTTGTGATTATAAGTTGCAGTTCTACAAATTCTGTTATGTAAAAAAGTATTTGGTTGTTTTTGTCTATATAAATATTACAAAGGCGTAGTGACCATTTAAGTTAATGTCTTAATCTCAGTATTATCAGTGTAACTTATAGAATCGTTTTTGTTTGAGATACCTACGTATTTGTTAATATTAAGTGGGTGATATTGCGAACTAAAGCATGATGGTAAAGAATCTTTGAGGTTAGCACATTGTAAATAATAAATATATAATATCTTATTAGAACTTCTGTTTTTTATTTGTGAAAATAATTTAAGTATTTTTGTGTTGGTATATGTATGTATTATAATTTTCAATCGCAATTATTTTATGATGGATTATTACTTTATTAGTCATATGTATAAAGCAAACCACGTACAACAAATACGAAAACATACCAACGTAGTAGGTATATACGAGCATAATGACCCTTTTGTAGTTGCATTAAATAAATAATATAGAGACGATGATATGTCAACTTGTTTACGTCATGTCTTGTTTTTAATAACATAATACGTTTTTGTTGTTGTTATAAATATATCACACGTGTTATTGATCTAAATTTGTTTGAGATTGCCGCTTTAAAAGTATATAGTAAGATAGCAGTGTGTGTGTGATACCCTTTCACAGTTTACCTTAAGGAATGGATCGGGCCTTTCCTTATTGTCACCACTACACTACATACTAAATGCACTAAATGTTCTGTAAAAATAGATGGTTAAAAACTAGTCACTCTTGAGTGGTGTGAATTTATTGAGACGTGACTTTCCCAGTGAATCGACGGTGTTATTCTTATTACCTTTGCACTCGTGTGTCTGCGCGGATTTGATCTCCCTCTCTTAGATTAGAGGTTTTTAGCGGTCGGCTGTCCCTATTCACAGGTTATATTAAAAAAGTCATAATGTGTTTAAAAGTGATTTCAACGAACAAACTTTATCGTTGTTTTATATGATTTTAACTCTTACATTGTATACATTACGATTTAAAAACTATAACTAGTTTGTTTGTAACGAATAAATGGAAACTAGTTGTATCTTGTTTCGATGTATTGTGTTCAGTAGTTAATGTAATATGATATAAGCCAATTTCATTGGACTCAGAGTTTTATCGGTCACAATATTCATATCTCCCAGACTACAATACTGCGGTACCGTCTAGTAATATTTTTACGACCTTTGATGCTTCGAAAAAAGTACGATTTATTTTCGAGATTAGGTATAATATAAGATTCGATAGTGGAATATCGTATAACATACGACCCTGAACCAATGCGTGTTATCACTCAGAAAAATATACAAATGTCATGATTATGAATAGGTATAGACTTGTACAGTATCATTGACCGGCAAGGTCTTTGGAGTTACGAAACCTTTTTTGTTGTATGCTACAATTCTTAAAAATCAGTTAAGAATTGTAGCGTTTAATGTCTATTGACGACACATGCAATATGCGGTTAGAATACATCAGTTAACCTACTAGAATAGTGTTCTTACTTACTTGCCTAGCTAGGTCTCACGTCAGGAAAGTCCGTTAGAAGCAGGTACATGGAAGGAGATTAGGTTGTCCACCAAATAAGTGACCTTTTGGTTTTGCGAGTATAGGCACTGGTTAAGTTTAAAACTAACCATCTTAAAACAACGCAAAAGAGTAGTTGCTTTTTGATTATATATTGACTTGACACAGTGTAGTACTTAGCTTGTACACGACACAATATCTTGTATAATATACATGCATATAACTATGACTTGACAATATTTGAAAGTCGTTTTCGGTATGTTCTAAGTCTATTTTTTTTATGTCTGATAATTAACAAATTTAGCAATTATTACTTTTGCACTTATATTTCTGATTTGATGAAAAATAATAATGGGTTTTATTAAATAACGTTTTAATCGATTAAAAAAATAACTTTTTAATTGACAATACTGAACTCATGTTATAAATGATTTTACCCGCGTTTAATATTTAATACATAAATGTTATAATAGTAATTTACATATACGGGTATTACTGTTGTTGCAAAAGTAATTTTCAAAACAGTATAAATATTCATAAACATGAAGTAGAAACTTATGTTCTCATTACTACGTACAATAGAAGGTTGGGTACTGTTTTTATTGCGTTAAATAATAATCATTTGTTAATAGTACTATATAATAATAATAATATAACAATATTTATGGACATCTAACACACAATGCCCATCTAGTTTCAAACTAAGTAGAGCTTGTACTATAAAAATATATTCTATCAGTCAATCTAGACTGATAGAATATATATTTATATACTTATTTTTTGTGAATACATTACATATAAAAATACATGTACAGTATCAAAGTATCTACGTAAGGTCTGTCTGTTTCTTATTCATTAAATAGTGTAATGAAGACAAATAAGCAGTCTATAATATATTAGAATAGAATGGAGTAAATTATGTTCGAAATCAACTTCTTTTTTCAAGCACATAAATATGTATAAATTTAATCCTTACTGCGCGTTTTGGAGTTTAATTTTACCTGCTTGAGCAACTCGCAAAAATGAAATAAAGAAAAGAACAGAGTGTAGTAATATGCCCTTAACGTATGGAATAGAATCAAGAGATATAGAATACAGACAATCTATACGGTTTACCTTTTAGAAAACTGGAAACAAACCCTACACCAACCCGTCTGGCCAACGTATACCATACTGGCCAGACGGGTTGGTGGTGACCAGTAGGCCGAAATCTCCTTTCTAGGAAGGGCCTATGTCCAGCAGTGGACTGCTAAAGGCTGTCGATGATGATGATACAGTTTACCTTTTAAAATAAAACGTAAATTGAATTACTCACCATACTGCTAAATCCTTCACATCTCTAGGTTTCCGCCCTGCATGTACCGATACTACTTCACCGTGAGCTCCGGTGAGGTTTGGTTTAACTTAGGCACTCTTCCATCTTTGCTCAATTCAATTCGGCTAGGTTTCTTATTTAATTGTTTCATCATAATTTTGTGAATCAAGAGATTAAATCAAGAATGTTATCATTAACTGCGAGACGCAAAAGTCTTGTTTTTGTTAAAATTTTGTAGGTTCAAACTTGATCATGACCTTAAAATTAAACAGGTCGGTCTTGGTCTTAGTAATGCAAAAAAACAACATTATTCTGATTTATGTATTTGACCCAAAAGTTGCCACATGTTAGAGTAATGTATATCTATCTTTATTTCATCTGTACTTCTGATTATGCTTACATACCCTATTACATTACCAAATCTTGCGAGCATAAGTAGTATTTTTGTGTGTTTTAACCGAGTTAAAAAAAGGAAGTTTTTTGGGAAGGTCATATTGATCGTTTGGTGCCATTTAGATTTAAAAAAATCACGCTTTAAGACGGAAATTTTGAGAATGAAGAATAAAGTTTATAACTATTCATACATACTTATAAAAGCCACATTTCTTAACTGTCCGAACTTAATATTATGTTTCAGGCATACAGATTATTTGGTGCAGATGGACATGCGCTGATAGACTTGCTACAAAGGTCATCGGAGCCCGCTCCAGAAGTTGGTCAAAAGGTCCTTTGTAGGCATCCCTTTCAAGAGTCAAAGAGAGCTTATGTCAGTCCTAGCAAAGTGGAACACCTTTATAAGGTAATTTTATTTCCCAAAATAAACATTTTCTAGTCTAAATAAAAACAAACTACTACCATTATTGCATTATAATCATTTTCACAAATTTCAGATTCTCAGATTACCTATATTATTAGGTACTTAGTCATTTTTATATATGCATTTATCTTACTTCCAATCTGTACATTGGTCATGATAATAAATCAAAGTTATTTAAAAACTTAGTCTTAGAAAATGAGGTAGTGGCTTAGAGTTGGTGATTTCATGGTGGGATCTTAAAGGAATTGTGGGACATTACAAAAAATGTCATTACTGAATATAGGCACGCATAGCGATTTTGGTAATTTTATAGTAACAATTAAGCTTACTATTTACTCTCGGAAAGTCACTGAAACTACTCATTTTTAAAGTCAATAATAACTTTTTTTTAAACATTTAATTTTATTGCGAGTTTAGCGATACCAATGTTGGGTAAGCCTAAATAAAATAAACTCTGCCTCCTTTTATAATATCAAACTGTTCTTCAAAATATGTACAATAATATTTTAGTACCATACTAGGTATACAGTAAAATTTTGATTGCATCAAGAAACAATTATTTGTTCATTATCAGAAATACATCGTATAACGATAAGATAAACACCTACAACACGATGACGCGTATTTTGTTATAGCGATACGCAGTTGGCCTTTCGAGACTAGCACTTAAAGTATTTTTTTATGGTATTGGACAGCATACAAGCAGACGGGTCGCCTACAGTCCGGCTTTAGGCCTGGTCACAGCACTACCGCCCTCCTCAATGTGACTGGCGATATTAGGAAGGGCATGGAAGATACCAAAGTTACAGTTCTGGTCTTAGTTGATTTCTCTAACGCCTTTAATAGAGTCAGTCACGAAATCCTACTATCAATCCTTACATACCTTAAGACACACCCAGAGACACTGGAATGGTTTTCCACCTATCTTTAGGGATCGTAGTGGGCAGCAAACATATGATTAGCATATTGGATACTGCATCAGTCCCACCGGTCATCTTCAACGACTCAGTTATACCTTGGAGACTGGTAGTCAAAGACCTAGGCCTGCTCATCGGCTCAACCCTAGACTGGCGTCCTCAAGTTACTCATGTGAGCGAGAAAGTAACGAGTGACCTTCGAACACTATACCGTCTTAAGAATTTCCTGCCCACTAAAACCTCTCTCATGCAGTCCCTTATTATTCCTATAATTGACTATGGTGATGTGTGTTACTTCGATCTGAATGAAGACCTCCTCAATAAGCTAGACCGTCTTCTCAATAACTGCATTCGATACATATTTAATCTTCGCAGGTATGACCATGTGTCTGCTTTACGCTCCCAATTAAAATGGTTACTTATTCACCTGCGTCGCAAACAGCGAGCCCTGACCTCTCTCTTTTCATTCCTCAACTCCCCACTTTCAAAACAAACGGTCAACATGACTTTGACTTTTGATCGACTTTGGCGTGGTTTTTTCGGTTTCGGTTCAGTTGGAAGGGGCTACTCCGAAGCTTGTTGTCTAGTTTGCATTTCAAACTCGTAAACCCACGTCTCGTCACCAGTAACAATGCGTTTCATGAATGTTTGGTCGGAATTTACTCGTTCTAGCATGTCCTCAGCGACTCATGCGATTGAGTTTTTGGAGAAAATTCAGGTCTTTTGGGACTAGCCGAGCGGTAACATGTTTCATACCCAAATGATTAGTTAAAGGGTTACGATCGACTCGTGAGATACAGAAAGTTCGGCGACTATCTCTCTCAGTCACTATTTCCTTCACTTTTGCGATGTTAACTTCAGTTGCAGACGTTGATGGCCTACCAGAGCGAGACAAATCTTCCCTCACATCTCGACCGCTTTTGAACGCTTTGTACCACTCATAAGCACGTGTTTTTGATAGTCGATTCTCCGTAAGCCTTCTGTAACATTTTCAGTGACTCCGAACACGAAATTCCATTGGCGATGCAAAATTTAAGACAAACTGTTCGATATTTTTGTCCATTATGAAATTCGAAATACACACTAGATATGATATAACTAAAAACAACACTGTATATAATATAAATAACAGATGCAACTTAAACTCCGCTCCAAAATGGCAAACAGCTGTGCCAATCTAACAAAAAAAAAACAATTTGACCATAAACAAATCATGCATTCCCGATACTTTTTTGACTAATTGTAATGCTACAACACAATAAAATGACCTACAATCCACAGTTGTTGAAGAAACGTAGAAAATATATGGTGTGCAAATCTCCGTTGGGTGCAAAACTAAATTTAGCAGACATTTTTCTGACTTTAACGGACCCCACTGAAATAATAAAATCAATAAAGTTGTCAATATTTATAGGTTTGAAGAGACTGAAAAACTCATGTACATTATTCAATAATAGTTACAAACACACACACACACACACACACAAACATACACACACTAAAGAACCACGTGTGCACTCGAGCACATGCACAAACTAGATTAATTTTGATATTATATAGCATAAGTACAAAACATAATATAGATTATAGTTGTATTGTACATTGGGGAGTTGGCGCTGATAGTCGAAATACAGGCTTCGCCAAGTTCGACTACAGATGCTTCATTCATTTAATTGTAAGACATATTAATATAGCAGCTTAAAGATGTAACCTGTAAGTTGGTATGTAATATATATAAATAAAATAAAACACTTAATTTTAGATAGGTATTAGGATGTAAGTATTATCATAATAAAATAATTAGAGGGGATTGGACAATCGAAATACAGGCTTTGCCTAGTTTGATTGCAGATGCTACAATCATTGGTTTAAAAAAAAATGCCAAATTATTTGTACTTTAGTACAAAGTTCTTGATGCGTATCATTACACACCATGAGTCAGCAGTTTAAGAGAACTGTGACGTCTTTAGTTAACATATTGACTTTGTTGACTGCACGGATGGCGTAGCGGTTTAAGCGGTCGCCACGCCACTTTCTATTGCGCTGAGTGTTGTGGGTTCAAACCCCACATGGGATAACACTTTGTGTGATCCACAAATTGTTGTTCTGAGTCTGGGTGTACTTTGTGTCCGTTTCATGTATGTTTGTAAAGTCCCCCGCGACACAGGATTTATTCCTAGTGCGGGAGTTGTCTTTTAAAAAAAAAAAAAAAATATATATATAGCCAGAAATATAAAGTTAAATGGACTTATTTTGAAACGGGACGTAAAGAGGCGCTGACTATGGCGCTACTATAGCGCCTGTATATATATATAATATAATTGTAGCGATTTCTGTAAAAAATACCATTTCACAAATTATTCATAATAAACCGTAATAGTCCGATGCAAACTTAATAGTGGCTCGGAACATTGTGCGTTTCAATGAAATCAGAACACAATAATAGACAGCAGCGGGACGTACAGGAGCGCGGGGGCCAGGGCGACACACGACACGCATGTTTCCTGTCTACGTACAGTCGAGTTGACTTGACTGCAGGTACCTGCGTAGACCTGTGTGCGCAGCTAACTTCAGAGCCGCCATTAAGTTTGCATCGGACTATATCGTGACTTTGACCCACTTCAAAACGTCGAATTAAATCGAAACTTCGCACTAAGTGTGCGAAGTCACGGAGTCAAGTCAAGGACCGATGACAATACAATAATTTGATAAATTTGGCGAATTAAATTAAAATAACTAAAAAACAAAAATAAATTATAGTTTAAAAGAACACGCTTTTGTAACTAGCCGAACTAAAAAGTAGAAAATAATTTTCTATAAGTTTAAAAACAAAAATCATTTAATCGTATAAATGCGTGGTAATTGGTAACTGATAACTTCCTTCTTGGTCCAAACTACTTAATCATTTATTTAACTTTGATCAATAATTTACAACTTAAGTAATAAATGTTATTAGGGTAAAAGCCGGATAGTTGCCTCAGACGGATAGTTGCCCCGGTTTTGAATACACTATGATAGGAGTATTAGTTATGTTAGCGCTTTACTACAATAAGAAGTGCCCACAGGCCTCAGTGCCATGTAAGCAATCGGAGTAGGCGAACGTGTTTTGTCCGTGTGAGCAAAAATCTTCCGCTGTAAAACGCTGACGGGCGTTGATCTTATTTTGGTAAGTAATTTTAGTTGAATATTTTTATTATTGATCGTGCTTTCAGTCAACTTTTTGTTTCTTTGTATGCATTAGAGTCTAAATTACAATGTTTATTATGTTTTATTACTCAATAGTTTTTTTTTTTTTTTTTAATAAAAAGGGCAAGTATCCGCATTAAAAAGGATAGTCGCCCTACTTACTTTTGCGGATAGTTGCCCCTAGAGTGACTGTAAATTCTTCATCGAGCAAGCACAGTTTTTTTTTTCTTTTGTTGTTTTTTCCAATTTACTGTGACTTATAACTTGTTTTAAACAAAATAAATAGTTAACTGTTTTATATATTTATTTTAGGAAAGCAAAATGCCTCGCAAGTACAAGCGAAAACCAGGCGTGGTGCCACGCCACATCAGCTGGACAGAAGATAGCTTAGCACTTGTAATACCACTTAGCATAACTAAAAGAGCTAAACAATCGGCAGAATTTTTAAACTCTGACGATAAAATAGTCCAGAAGAAGGATAAAGCCGAAAAAATAAAAAATAAACAAATACAATTATCACAGAGAAAAAGAAAAACGTTAGACAGTAAAAAACAAACTAGCTGGTAACAAGAAAAGTATTGAGAAAAAAAAAGGAAAACCGCAAAAAAATAAAAACACCAAAAAATATATTGATAAGACTAGCAGTGAAACTGAATCTGATAACGCAAGGTTTATGAAACATAATAAGGGAAAAGCTTTAAGGAAGAGAAGATTAATAATAACCTTAAGTTTGAATAATATTTTTATATTTTAAAGCATTAAAACTGAAGAATATTTAATAATGTTAATTCATATTTTAATGTGTACTTAATAAAAGATCTCATTAAATTATGAAGACTGATAAATAAATGATAAAGATTAATTAAATTGACATAAATTTATTTTTATCCCAAAAAAACATATATCGAGGTGACTATCCTCGCACGAGGCAAGTATCCCTCGAAGGATTTTCCACGCTAGGCTACTATCCGCCACAGTAGGCAACTATCCGTTTTTTCAGAGGCCAAATAAAACAGGATTTAAATAAAACCAATGTTAATTATGTTAACAAAAATAGGCTATAATAGAAGAAAAAGACCTACGTTATGAAATACATATCGTATAATTTTCAGCAAGTAAATATTTTAAAAAAATAAAGCTTTTTTGAAAAGTGGGGCAACTATCCGGCTTTTACCCTAAGTCAAATTTCTAAAAAAATTAATACATCCTTACAAAAATATGAAATATATTAAATGTATCCCTGACAAACATTTCGATGCATATCAGATGTAGAAAAATCTTTTGACAAAATAAAAAATTGTTGAGCTGACATTGCCATCGGGCGGGTTGTCTGCTTGTATATTATTATTAAATGCACAAAAAAAAAATGTAAACGTTAAGCGTATCAAACTTTTATAAACTATTTTATAGGTGTACTGGAGAGACGGCAAGGTTACTACAATGCCAAAGCCATTGAGCGAGGTGCGAGAGCGAGTGCAATCAACTTTGAAAACATTGCGTCAAGATATCAAGAGAAATTTAAACCCAACACCATATAAGGTAAAATATTTTTTTGTTCCTAAAACCGATTAGTGTGTAAGCTTTAATACAACACAGCACATGCGGCCGTCGGTTCTAAACCTGGCAGAGCGTTTTTTTATTGTTTTCTGTTTTTTAAGTGTGGAAATCCCCTCGGGCCGTCACCCCATCGGGGTTTGCGGATTAGTGTGTCGGAATCGAACCGACTAAAACCAAACGGTGTGCCACTCTGCGTTGGAGCGCCTCCACGGTGGCAAAATCAGCACGTGGAGCCTCCAGCCAGAACGACCAACGAACTATCAGCTCGGCGAGCGGCTTCACGCCACTCGCGTACTTCGGCGAGCACTTCCGCCTCCAAATCCCACGGGGGAGTTCCTCCCAACGCGCACGCCACCTCCGTCGACACGATGTGGTAACCGCGTATTGCTCTAATCGCCAATACCCTCTGAAGACGCCAAAGGCGCGCCCTATTCTGGGCGGTCAGAGCCGCCCCCCACACTGGTGCATCATACAGTGCCGTTGACCGGACAACACCCGTGTATAGCCGTCTCGTCGCGACGCTGGGTCCACCAAATTAGGCAAAAGTCACCCAAGGGCAGACGCAGCGCCGACTAGCTTTACAGCAAGCTGTCGGCAGTGCTCGTCGAAGAGCCACCTCCCGTCGAGGATCAAGCCCAGACACTTAATCTGGGTTTGAACCGGTACGAGAACCGAGTTGACAACGATTGAGGCGCCGGGGAGTGAACCACGACGAGGCCCATGAAATAAAAGGGCCTCCGTCTTATTCAGGGCCACCCGTTCCTGCGCCTGGCCTCCAGAGAGACTTCCCTGGTGGCCAGGCGCGCCGCCTCTTGAAAGTTCGCTCCGCGGGCTGTGACCAATGTAACATTGGGGTAAGAAATTACACCCAGCCCCGCGGGGAAATCAGCTTGAAGGGCCCAGCCGTACCCTATGTTCCACAGGAGGGGTCCAAAAACAGACCTCTGTGGAACACCGCACCTCAGATTACCATCTTGGTTCTCGTACACGACGGTACGCTCCTCTAAATAATTTGTCATCAACCGCCTCAGGTACTCTGGCACCTCATGATAGTGGAGTGCTTCCCTCATGCAGCTGAATGGCAGACTATTGAATGCGTTGGCGATATCCAATGACACCGCCAACAGCACGCCGCCACAGCTCACCGCCTCTTCGTTCACAGCCCTCAGACGCAGCACAGCGCTGACCGTCGAACGCCGCGCTCGAAAACCGGCGTCCGACAGACGGAGCCCACCTCGTAGAGGCACAAATCTGGCAGGGCCTATGCTATAGTAATCACACTGCTGATAAACAAATTTACATATTACTAAATACCTACATATTATCGATAAAATTAAACACTCGGGGACGGGGATAAAACACAATGTGGTTTTTGTAGGTCCGATTCCGACATAGCACTTCACTGTAGCCATGGTGGGATGATGATCAGTGGGGGTTTCTACACCATAAAAATATGTATGCTAGTAGTTATTTTAAATATTTTATCAAACATTTTTTACCGATAATATTCTATAATGCTAAGAAATTCTTGGGTGATATTTTGCACACCACGTTACGTCACGTTGTGTAAATTATATGGACTTATAGTACTTGGAAGTATTTGTCTTTAGTGGCCTCTTCTAGTTTCAAGGTTTGCACGGTTTGACTGCACGGATGGCGTAGTGGTTTAAGCGGTCACCTCGCCGCTAACTACTTTGTGTGATCCACGAATTGTTGTTCTGAGTCTGGGTGTTCTTTGTGTCCGTTTCATATATGTTTGTAAAGGCACCCGCGACACAGGATATATCCCTAATGCGGGCGTTGTCTTTTTGAAACAATTTAATTTAAAAACAATTTAATCGCTAATGTGGCACAAAACGATCTCCTAAATATATAGATAATTTATATATTATAACACTTGTTGTTATTGATTACAGGTCGCCGTAAGTGATGACCTGTACAATTTCATACATGATCTGTGGCTTCAGAATGCTCCTATTGGTGAATTGTCTTGAGAGTAGTAAGTGTATTAATTAACGCAAAACAAAGATTAAATAGAACCAAGTATTTAATAAATAAACAGCTTCAATTTTTTTCCGAGAGAAACAACGGCGATATTATTAATGCCCAGGATTATATTGTCATGATTTCTGATTGTGGTCACGTAAATGGGCTAAAAGAATACTTACAGTTGTGATAGCATATAATGCAGCATAAAATGTCATTGGTATTTTTTGCATACTAATTGATTTATGTTGCCATAACATTTCAATGGATTTAGAATGAATTTATTACAAAAGTAATGTTACAAATTTTGTTAATATGTATACAAATAAATATAATTATGTGTAAATTGTTACAAGAACTGTATATTTTAATTGTTATTTGTTTTGTACACAAGCTTTTAATGAGACAAGTTGTAGTAATTTTAAATGTCACAATCAATCAATCTTACTGATTAATAGTGGACATTTTGTTAACAATGTGAGTAGGTTACTAGATATGTTTATAACGGGAACAATGTTTTTATCATTTTTAACATCTATTTATATTGATTTGATATCTATTTTGTACAAAACTTGTCAGACTACTATCGTAGGCCTGACAAGAATATGAATGTTTAATAGTATAAGATTTTAGTCAATAAGTCACTGCAATAGCTTTAGCTTTATATCTACACATCCGTTATAGTAGCTAAACTTGCAATCATATCGTAAGAAACGACACTACGTCTCAATTTTTAAGTGTAATTAAAATAATCCTTTTATAAACAGAAGTATTTTGGAATCGTACCAAATTTGTTTTTGCACTAGTCAAATTAATAAAACTAGAGATCGCCTATTGGTCGATATTTGATTGTAATTCATCAAGTTTTAAAGTATTAATATGTTGAACTTTTATTCGTTAGCCTTTCTATACATGACAGATCAACATACATACATACTGTATGCCTTTGACTTTTTATAGTCGTTTGACATAATTTACGTAGAAAAAGTATTGATCCAATTTTCCATAGTTAGTAAACCAAAAAAAAAATTTACGTAGAAAAACATAGGAGGAAATAGTCCTTAACTGTTTTGTCTTGCCTATTTATATTTAGATTTTATATCTTTTAGTTTAATCAAACACACGGCCTAATGGTAATCAGTTGTCCATGAAACACAACTCTGCTGGTTTCTCATGTCCATAGTTATCCTATTATCCTATTGCCTGTTCAGTGTTCTAGTGACCCTATTTACCGTCAGGAAAAACAGTACTGTCTAATCGCCCAAAAGGTTAGCTCCAATGCCGGTACAATTTCGGCTGTTCTGTGTGTGATTGTTACATATAAAGTTAAAACAATTGTAAATAATTGTAACTTTTTTCCACTATGAATATCATTTAAATTCCTTCGCATTCCTTAATTTAAGTCAGACAGTTTAGTCCTAACAATTGATAGTGATTTGTTAGTGATCTCTTTAACGATAGGCTTTTAATAAACTATTCGTTGTCCGTCAGATCAGTCTACAAGGATCAAGTCGAATAGAGATTGAGCCACTGTTCCTAATTAATTCAAAACGTTTTTTATATTACGCTAAAAATTCAGTTTCAGTACTGTTTTCACATACAATTTAACATTAAGCTTTTGTAGAAATGTCAGTGTGCTTAATTAATTTATCTCTTTAATGTAATGTGTTTCCATATGAAAGAAAAGAGTTAACTTTTTAAATTATGTAACGTGTTACGTGTGTGCCCCTTAAAATAGCCTTTGCTAGGGCGAAATCGGAGCACATCACCCGGATCGGTGAGAGACTGGTGAGACTTCCTTCTGGCACTCGTGCATTCTGGTCTCTTGCCAAAGCTGTCCAGGGGAAGTCAGAGGAAAAAGGTGACCGCTCTGACCCGTCCAACTACAGGTCTATAGCCATAACTCCTTTGTTCTCTAAGATTATGGAATCCATAATGAACTGCCAGCTCCTCCGGTACTTAGATGATCACCAGCTACTCAATGACTCGTCTTTAAACCAAACCAAAACACAAAAGTCAAAAGGCTTTCGACCAAAGGAGAGGCTTGTGCGGTTAGTTTGGACATAGCTCTCGAAGCTCCCTTCCTATGGGCTTCCTGAGGAATTGTGTAATTGGGTCACCAGTTTCAGTGCTCCGACTAGAAATTCGTAAATGCTGGGACATCAGCATTTACGAATTTCTAGTCAGGTCTAGTCAAGGCTGTGTGCTATCACCACACTGTTTCTTCTGCATATCAATGACATGTTGCAAACTAGTAACATCCATTGCTATGCAGATGATAGCCGGCCGCCCCATTATTTCTCGGGAAAACGTCACCGAGAGTCGAAACAAACTTGTGTCTGAAATTGAAACTTCCTTAGCGGAGATTTCAGATTGGGGCCGACTAAATCTAGTCCAGTTCAACCCAAAAAAGACACAGGTCTGTGCGCTCACCGCAAAGTAGATACCATTTGTCATATCACCTCGGGTTAAGAGCACCTCCCTAATTGCCTCAGCCAGTATCGGAATCCTAGTCATCGACATATCGACCAAAATCCAGTTTCGAAGTCACTTAAGAGTGTAAGGTCAAATTGCCCTCGAAGAAGCACGTTGTGCATAACAGATCGAGGCAGTATTTCACTCCGGCCCACCGCCTGCAGCTCTAAAAGGCACAAGTCCGGCCGCATTTGGAATACTGTTCTCATCTCTCTGCAGGGGCACCTCAGTACCAGCTTCTCCCTCTGGACTGTATCCAACGAAGAGCGACTCGGATCGTCGATAGCCCAAACGTCTCCAATCGGCTTGATCCCTTGGCGTTACGTAGAGGTGTGGCTTCACTCTGCATTCTCTATATATCATGGAGAGTGATCCGAAGAATTGTTCGGACTAATACCAGCCGCAACCTTCCGCGCTCGTTCCACATGGCAAAATTTTCATCCTCATCACCGGATAGTTAGCGCTACACTACTGTGCGCTTTTCGAGACACTTTTTGGGGGTTATCATCTGCGGTATATCCGGACCGATACGATATTCAAACCTTCAAGAAAAGAGCGTTTGTGACTCCTGAGTTGCAGACGTTCATCGTCGGCTATGGTCACTTTCCATAAGGTGACCCTTCTGCTCGTCTGCCCCCTTTAAAATAAAAAAACTTTTAAATGTTTAACTTCATTCAGATTCGGTTATTACTGTGTGGTGACGGATTAAGAATATGGAGTGTCGCTACCCTTATTCATCCCGTGAGTGTCGTAAGAGCTGATTAAGAGAGCCAACTACGCAGGACAACAGCGCTGCAAAGAGAATGAAAATTTTAAACAAACCCTATACCAACAGTAGGGGACTGTTGATGATGATGAAGACTTAAAAAAGGATTCCAATATAATTTCATATGATAAATGCGCTTAGTTCTCTTACAAACACTTCATATTATAGCTAAGCCACGAGGTTGATATCATTAGCGATTTTTATACGTTCATATCGTGGAAGAAAACGAAATCAGAAAAACATTCTACACATAATTTAAGTTTCAATACTTCTAAAAATACTCATACATATGCTAGACACCCGTATGGTGCAAAAAAAAAAAAACAGTCATTATGCCTCTTAATTTGTCGGTACTATGTTTTCTTCTTCAGAAATCTGAACAGATTAAAGAGCAGTAGGGACATTCTAGCCGCATTTTCTTTTAAACAGTCCGTCCATATTTAAAATAGATTTACTAACGTATTTCGCGTACCTCTATCGTCGACACCATTAGCGAAAACATTTCATTTTACCATCCGTAATTTAATTATAATTTAGAATGCGAAAACCTAGTTAATCAAATTGTACCTAACTGGATTTTTAATAAGAAATGTTCTTTAAATATTAACCAATATTTATATGACGTTCCAATTTTATGGTATGCTAAAAAAAATGTTGTACACCTAGATAAGTTAAGAAACATGTTGTACAAATGATGTATTTAAAACAAAAAAAGCATTTAGTTTACCTCTACTGTAGGTAGATACTTAGGCATTTAGAGTGTCAGTTCTATCATTTGAATTGCAAAAATGGATTTTGATGAAATAATTTTGTAAAATATATTATATGTATGAAAATATATTTTTTTGTTTTCTATATAAATATATTTATTAACACTAGTAACTTCGATTAAGCAAAAGGTCGAATTAAGGATGAGTTCTCAATTTGTCAAAATATTTATTAACCTCAGGGTACATTGATACATCTGCCCTATAAAAAAATGTACAATCTTAAGTTCCTATCGTAACGATGATAAAATATGATGTGCATATGCATAGATATGAGTGCATATGAATAATAAATCTGCTGTCAGCTCACCTAAACCTTTTAAGACTCCCATGTGTACTAAGGTGAAAATATTTTTTTCAAAAAAGTGCGCTGATCAAAGTGCTTAACACATTTTTTAAATACTAAATGGAATAGTGTTATGGAATAATGTTATTGTTATAAAGCTATATATTTATTAATTTAATAAAAATGCGGCGCAATACATAAATGGTTGTTTGATATAAAAGATCTTTTGTGTTAAAATGTTTCTTAATCAGAACATAAATAAACCGGAGTACATTATTTCTTAGGTAATTTTAGGCACTACGTAGTGAATGACTGTATTAAATTACATATTTATGTTCACAAGTGTTAGCACAAGCACCGGCTTGTCTGTGGTGTTTTATGTGCCTTTTTAAATAATGTCATTTAAAAAATAAACTTTCATAAAATAAATTCTTATTATTTCATTTATATTCTTTTATATTTATTCTTTGCGTAACTGAGAATATACATGATAATGTAATACTGTAAGGTAAAGGTAAGTTGCTGCCGTCGTAGCTGAAAGAAGTAAGTGAGGTGCACTTTATAGTTCTCTTTTTCATTACAACACAACACATTACAAACTAAATACTAATATTAAAAATGACTGATATTAATAATGATTTAACCCAGATAAGCCTACTGTCCCATAAATAGGACGGTAGAAATAAAAAAATATTTTAACTTACGCACATATTA